ATAATGAATGTGAATTGTGGTTATGAAGGAAGAAGCGGCAACTTCTAAGGCTGACTATGAACACTGATTGGTGGTGGAGGTGGCTGGTCCTGTGGTGGCTAGCAGCAAAAGGGTGGTGGCTGGATATGAAGGCTGGTCTCTTTTAAGTTTTTTAATTTATTTTTTTTATATTTCAGTAGTGAAGGCTGAATAGCGTTTGTAAAAAAATTTAATAATTTTTTAATTTAAAACTCTGATACCATGTTAAGAATAGTTTTTTGATTGATACATATTCTACTGAATATTATAGTCCTATATATACAAATTTCGATGACACAAAAAGGGAATAAATAATTGATTACAAGTAATTATAAATGGTGTAATTTATCTTTATATCCTATTGACTTATTCTTTAGCATCTTGATTTACTTATTTTGATAGCTGATTTTATTTCTCTTAAATACCCTAATTTACTTTCTCTTAATATTCTAATTTACTTAATCTTTAATACTTTGATTTGCTTTCTCTTTAATAGTTTGTTTTTTCTATATAAAGGAAGAATAGTTGCTTATAGCGTGGAATTGCATTTCAAGAGGGTATAGCTTGATATGTCCCATTCTCTTTGTTTGCACCATGTGCATGAATTTATACGTGCAAGTGGTTTCAATTATTTTCTTAATTTTTTGTTTGTTGCTGATTTAAAAAAAAACTTTCTTAAGTGATTAAAATCCACAGGGATGAGTAGATTAGTTAAAAAATTTTAGTTGGAATCTCTTGAAATTATTGTAATAACACAGTTTACCTTACATATGCATTCACAGTTCAATGTTCCTTATAATGTATAGGATCAAGCAATAGAGCATCTCAGGGGAATCGAGAAGTTGATAAATGGAGTAGTTTTGAAGTGCAAAAGAAACCAAATATTGCTTATGACAAGGAACTGTTTGCATTTTGCTTGAGACGGTTCTTATATGTTCGCTGTTATGACACTCATGAGTTCCTTTCCTCTTTCAAGGTAATGAGTTCTAATGAAAATATCTGCTTAATAAAGAAAAACATTTTTTTTGTCTTGAATCTGGAACTTTATGTTTTATGTTGTTTATGTAGTTTATTTGGTTGAAAAGGATTGTAACTTCGCCATGAATTGGAAAGAAAATATGCATGGTTACTTATATTGATTTGTAAGTAAAGAAAAGGAAAATTATGAATAGAAAACTTAACATATAGGAGGAGGCCTATTTAAGAAACTAACCGTAAGAAAATATACGACTATATACAAAAATATACTTTATTTTCTAACATTTCTCCTCAAGCTAGAGCGTGTAGTCATATGCACTTGGTTTGTTACAAATGTAACTTCTCACGAGCTCCAATTAACGATTTTGTGCACATAGTTGTTTTCTTGACTTCATGTAGGTGGTTTGAATCACATTTCCTTGAATAAAATGATAATCAACCTCATTGTTTTAGTTCTCCCATAAAGAATTAAATTTGAAGCAATGCTTGTTGCTCTTCATAGAGTAGTTCCATGGGTTATGACTATGGAAAACTAAGTTCATAAGGTAAATGCTTTAACCAAATTAACTTATAAATAGTATGGGAGCTTGATATTCTAATTCGCAAAATAGTTTGCTTCTTGCTTTTTCAAGAAACTACATTATTGCTGTACAAAAACAATAACCTTTAGGTAACCTATGATTGGAAGCAGAGCCAGTCTAATCAGAATCTATACTGTTAAGATCAAGTTACTCTATGATTCTTGTAGAGTTCCACATCCCAGTTTACATTTAAGATCTATCAAAATCCATAAGTATCTTATAAGTGATTACTATGAGAAGAGTCCATAACTTAATTCACAATATTCATGGTAAAGGTAATATGTGGACGAGTTGTGTTGAGGTAATCCCATTTTTAACTAACCTCCTATACGGTGCACAGTAGGTTCTTTAATAGTTCAACTTCACATGTATTCAATTTTAGCTTAAGATCTATAGATGTCAATTAGTTTGGATCTTGACAACCCACTGCACAAATCGATTAGGCCGACCTTCTCAAGTGCCTAAACCAAGATTTTTCTCTCGCATTAAAGATCTCTTAGATTTTCGAAGCCTAACTTTGCCAATCCAACAACTTCCTAATTTTAGAAAGGAAGACCTCCGTGTTGTCTTCTACAACCACTAGATTCCTGATTATAGAAAGGAAGTCTTTTGATTTGGAACCTGTGGGGGGGGAGGGGGGGGAGAGAAGGAAGGCACTAGAATCAACAAGAATAGAGGAGGCTTTGGATCTCGAGTATTTTTTAGGGAGAGGTAGAATGGCTGATGAAACATTGAAGGACTTTTACTAGGAGAATAGGAAGAGCTCGTGGATGAGGAGTCTGGTTGGGAGGTGCTATTCATTGTGAATTGCCTTGGGCAAGGATTGTGGGGGCAAATTTGTGGTCTTACTAGAGAGAAGGCAAGAAGGAAGAATGAGGATCTTCATTATAGAAAATTCTTAAGCGAAGGGATGGTAGAGAATGTTGGTAGAGTGTGTGAGTTAAGTTGGGAAACCTGTAGAATCCAAGTTAGGAGAACGCGCATCGAGAGCCACCT